GACCTCTTCCTAGCTGAAACTCAGAAGGAGTACCCATCCTCCTTTTCCTTGACCCCACTGGCTGTCTTTGACAGACCTGATCATGTTTTTCTTCTTAAATCTTGTCTTCTGTTGGCTTCTGCTACTCTGTCCTCTCCTGGTTCTCCTCCTACCTCGCTAATTGCGCCTTCAGTGTGTCCTTCAGAGATTCCTCCTCATCCTCCCTGATAGCTTTCTGTGGAGGTTCCACAGGGTTCTGTCCTTGGTCCCCCGGTCTTCTGACTTTACACTTAATCTCTGGGTTCTCTCATCCACAAACACAAATTCAGCTTCCACCTCTATGCTGACCTCTCTACTCCAGACCTGTTTCCTTCTGACCAAAATAAAATCTTGGCCTGTTCCTTTAACATCTGCTTGTGGATGTCTACCCATTAGCTAGAGTACAACATGGCTAAAACGGAGCTCTTAATCTTCACCCCTACCTCCTTTCTTGATCACTGTGGACACCACCACCATCCTGCCTGTCAGTCAGGCCATTAACCTAAGCATCATCTTTAACTCAAACCTCTCATTAGGTCCTCACATCCAGGCTATGTCTAAATCCTGCAGATTCTTTCTGCATAACCGCTGTAAGGCACAGCCTTTCCTATCCATCCACAGAGCTAAAACCTTATCCAGGCTCTCACCATCTCACTTATCAATTACAGCAACTTTCTTTTCTCTGGACTTGTGTGATGCTGTATGATTGAAACATGACCAGTTATATCATTAATATTGCCACTGTTAGTCAACTGCAACAAATCTTGTACAAGGTATATCATGTAAGGTATCAATGGAAAAGTTACGATTTTCTGAATATGATTATCCTCTTGGTAATGCATGTATCATTTTTGTATCTGAAGTTATGAATATTGACTGTGTACCAGTATTTCAAATGTATTTGCTCCTGGGGTAACCCCCACCAGGTAATTTACATACTGTCTAGCCAGCACACCGTGAATGGACCATTAACTAACACAATGGGCCATAGAAGAAGCAGTGAGTCTTCCTTTGGACACCTTAGCCAGAGTATGGGTGAGTAACAGCTGATCCTATGACTCAAAGCATTCAAGGGCATGTCACTTGCTCATGTGACCCTGGACTCCATCTTGTGCTTGTAATTTTTCACAAACCATGACTGAGAGCAGTCCCTCCACATGGGAGAAGGTATAAAAAACCCTGGAAGCATCTCCATTTTGCCTCTTTCCTGCTCTGATCTCTGGATTATGGACTTACACTAAAAGGAGTATTCCAACCAATGGACTGAGGACCTTCAAATCTTTTCGAAGTTACCAGAAACTTTACAAGCCAGCAGTTTAATACATCACTGCTTCAAACCTGATACAAGAACTATGCAATGGTTGTATGTATTTGATTCCTTTTACCATTTTAACTCTCTCCTCCTCCTTTTTGCTTATAAATGAACTTTTAGATATTAGATACTAAAGGATTGGTAACAGCGTGATTATTGGGTCAGATCTGAGTTTTATATTGACTTGGCTATTTTGCTGATCTTGTGAGATTAGAAGAACCTGTTTGATTAAATTGGTTTTCAATAACCACACATCATTAAGTCTAGTGTCTGGATGGTAAAACAAAGGCTGGGATACTTAAAGAGACTGCATTTCTCACTTCTAGTTAACCAGTGTCGTGAGACAGAAGTTTACTTGTTACTGGCTTGGTATATCTTATGGAAGAACAACCACCAGTTTGGGGTGGGTCTGCCCCATTTCTCAGCAGTTTGTCCTAAATCTGGTATTCTCAGCTGTGACCCACTGAGGCACGGTGACAACTTGACAAATGCAATCTTGTCCCACTCATATCTATTTAGAATGCTGCTGCAAAGATAATTTTGCTAGCTTGTCATTTTGATCATATCACCCCTCTTTGCATTCCTCCACCAGCTCTCTTCTTTATTGCACATCAAACAGGAGCTATTTGTCTTCACTTTCAAGGCCCTTTACAGACTTTCCCCACCACACCCATAATCTCTCACTTGCTACAGAGATGTTGACTCCTGCCTTGGATCGGTCCACGATGCCAGCCTCCATTGGGCACTTATTAAATTTTCAAACAAGCATTATTGTGCTTCCTCGCATGCCATCCCTCATGCTTGGGAGGAACTGCCCATAAACACCCACAAAGGTACCTCATTATCCTCCTTCACATCCCTTTCTCCTTTGTCCATGATTTCTACAAAAAACTTGGTAACAGCTATGTTCTGAGACCACTGCCTATCATGCTGACCAATATTGTCTCATTCTTTCCTCACACTCCCCCATCTGTCTGTATCCATCTGTTGTCTCTTGCCATATTCTTAGACTGTAAGCTCTCTGGCGCAGGGACCATCTTTTGTTCTGTGTTTGTACAGCGTCTACCACAATGGGGCCCTGGTCCATGACTAGTGATCCTAGCTGCTACAGTAATGCAAATAAATAAAATTATTAATAATAATGATGATCTAGGCCCTGGGTTTCCTCTGCACATGCATTGTTTCAAGGTGTGTGCTCTCAATGTACATTAGATAAGTAGAGCTGGGTGGGTAAATGGTTTTCCCATCCCAAAAGGTCAAAATCTTGAAGATTTTCATGAACTGACAATCTGAAAATTATTTTGGTTTGAGTCAATCGAAACCTTTTGTGTCCATAATTTGGAAGTATTTAATTTTTACTTCAGCCTAGTGATTTAATGTTTTACTATAATTAGCTTAAATTTTAAAACTAAAAGTAGTTATGAACTGAAAAAATTGAATGTTTTGTTTTGAAAAACGTCAAAACGTCCCACTCTGACAAATCTGAAACTTTTTTCCAAAAAACTTTTTGAAACCAGATATTTGTTAAAAATCGACCATTTCCCACAGTTTCAGTTTCAACAACCTGGCATTTTCCAACAAAAAACGCTTTGTGGAAAAATTCCCAACCAGCTCGAATAATAAGTTTGTTTTGAAAATATCACATGGTGTAGTCCTCCTGACTACATTCCCTTCCCCCCACCCCCTTTTTGTCCTATTGTATCTGCACCTGTGAAGAAATAAAGGAGAGCCAGAACATTCACACAGTGCCACAATCCTAAGTGTTAATAGGCGGGCTTTTGAAGACATTCCTGAGATGATGTTTGGTTGACATGACAGTATGTTGACTACCTGGCCAGTGTATCTACATCTTCTGAAATGCATGACAGCAGTTGAGAGAAACAGTGACACCTTAGCAAATACACAGGTATAAGCACCTGACACAATACCACTTATCCTCTACATGACTGAAGCATCCTTCATTTCTATTCATGTGAGACTCCATGCAATTCTCCTCTCTCCACTTTCACTGGAGGCACTGTACTGTCCCCTGTATTGCCAATGCTACTAGTGTAGAGGGACTGGATTTTGGAAATGGTTTTGTCATTTGTGGCCAGTGATTTGCCAGACAAGGTTCCTTGTTTCCTCTGTTTCTTTCTCTGGATGCTAGGAGGCAACTACACTGAAGAGAGAGTACAGTTGTCAGTTCACAGTGGGCATCCATACAACACTTTCTCACCATATCAGTTATCACAAAACCATTGCATGTGCACACACCTCTAGTTCATCTACATCAGCGACTTATTGACAGTAAGTTTCATACATTGCAGTCTCTTATGTTTATCTCCAGCTTCTGTTTGTGTCCTTTGAGGTTCACATTCCACATTCAGCCCATGCACAGCAAGAGATAGTCCTGCCACCAAAGTGTGCATTAAAATGATTCCCTAGTTCATCTGAAGCACAGTGGATTAATTTGTGACCTGACACCACAGCTCCTAGAATGAGTTCCTCACTGCCCACTGCTTTCCAAACTCTCCTACTGTGCCTGGGTTTTCAGAAACTCTGAATAGGAGCAACAATGTGTATGAGCTACAGGCAGAAGTGAAGTCCTCAGAACAATCTCTTTTGTGCCCATCTGTTGTGCCTGTAGCTGCTACGTTTGCGAGGCCCAATTCTTAGTTTCCAAAACATTTTTGTCACCCCTTCAACCTCAATAGTACACCTGCAGATTTTGGCCTCTGCATCATGTTTGCAGACGCAATTTTACACTTTTGAAAATGTAGCCCTAAAAGTGCACTCACAAGACTATTTACAATTGTACAGAACAGTCTAAATATGTTTACAGTTATTCTTCCCCTTTAAAGAATAAAGACTTGGGAAACCAAAGGGATGAACATGAAGTTTTTAAACAGGTTTCAATTATTAAAAAGCAGTTTGTCCTTTTATGGTGTTACAAGTTTTGTAAAACCACTTGAATAAATTCATAGTAGGTCATTGAGATATTAGTAAATTTAGTCTTTAATCTAAATGAACTTTCAATGTAAAGTGAATTATATACAGCCAAATACTGCTAAATTTAATCAAAATGCAAGACAGAATTCAGTTCAGAAAGAAAGTGCATATATCTGCCCAATTGGCTCAAATTTGCACAGAAACCAACCATCAGAACATTATTATTTAAACCATATAATTCTGATGGCTTTAATCCAAGCAACAGTTAGGCAAAAAGATATGTAAGCCAAAAGAGAGAAAACCACTGTAAAGAACCCCTACTAAAAATTACGTGACTATTTCCATCATTTATATTCCTAGCATTCATGACAAATTTGAGTCTCACCTATTTGGAGAAATTTAAAGCAATGATGTAATCTTTGGGAACGGTACACTGATGTCAAGTCAAACACAGATGTATCTTATGTTGATTTTTAAAACACAAATGCCAGTGGAATTCAGTGAAGAAAGCAAAAGCTGGCAAACCTCTCAAAGGCTTCTGCAGTCACAGTTATTTTAAAATAAAGCAATTGTGAAATTCTCCAGATTTGGTTTAGTACAGCAGTTATTCTCTCAATCAATCAATATACTGCTCAAACAGGTCAGCTGAACAAGTAATTGTTTGCATATGACAAATAACAAAAAAAAGAGTCCAGCCAAAAGGCTAATCTACATAAAAATGTCAAACGTATACACTTACCTTTTCCATTTATTGTTAATGCTGATGCAATTGTGGCTGTTACTGGCACTGGTAGCTGTGGCACTAATGGGTGTATTCTTGGCCGGCTCCCCATCCTAGCACGCTCTGCACCAGGTCCTAATAAAGCTCCCACCGGTTTTTCTGCTGCCACTTCTGGTGCTACAGAGTCTTCTTGATCCTGTTCTATGTGGTCCAATTTATCAGGGCTTTCATTTTGAAAGTCATCAACTGCTGTCCTGCTTTTAATAGGACTTTTGGGAACAAGGATTTTAATACCTGATTTTGCAAGGTCCATATTTTTCCTGCCAGAAAGAGATGGTGAATTGTTTTTCCGGAACTTCTGGGTGGCAGTAAACAATTGATTATTTTTTGACTCCTGGTCTTTGCCAATCACTAAAGATTTAGGTGACGTCTTTGAAAAAGAGCTATTGGTAGATCTAGAAATTTGTTTTCTGGCATTATTTGGAGAGGTCCTGTTTGTCCTGGTTAATGTGCTTTCTTTTTGTTTTTCATTGTGATGCCTATTAAATTCATGTATATATTCCTCACAATTTACAAGGTGCTGTTCAGGTTCCCAGGTGTCATCTTCACTCTCATATCCTTTCCATCGCACCAAATATTCTATTTTTCCCTTCTTGTTTTTCCTCTTGTCGACAATTCTCTCTACCTGTTGAAAGGAAAATTAAAAGTTAAACATGGATTTAGATGTAAAGAGGAAAAAATATGAGAGAGCAATTGCACATGGTATTAGATGCACATGGAACACTTTTACAGGAATATAGATTAAAGTATTTTTATGATTCTACAGTGAGATTGTATTCTTCCACTGCTGACTGGCAATGCAGTTTAATGTACCTCAGCTCGTTACTTCGATCTGATAAAAGCTGTCTGGAATATCAAAAATGTTCTGATTCAGAAAATATTTTGTATGTACATGAATCTGAATCTAGCATATCTCAGTTACCACTTTGAGTGAAATCTTGGCCTCACTGGAATCAAGAGATGTTTTGCCACTAACTTTGATGGGGCCAGAGTCCTTTTAACTTCAAGGAAAAAATGTCTTAATATGTTTAGACAGAATGTTTAGATAGCAAACTGTTTATTTTACAAAACATATTGGTTTAATATTGTTTGATCATCTATTTATTTAGCATGAGTCATGTGTGAAGTTATTCGTCCTAATGACATATTCTTTGGTGATCGAGGACACTGTATAGCTCAGGAATCAAGGGAGGATATGTGCCATTACATGAGGAAGGCTTTTCTTCTGGCAAAGACAAATAACTGAGAATCAGGAGAACTGGTCCTGGTTCTGGCTCTGCCAGACTTGTGTGTGTCCCTGAGCAAATCACTGTGCCTCCAAATGGGAATGGCTAGTATTATATCTTACTTTTATAGGCAATGCAAGAACAGCCACAGGATTATCAGTTTCTTCTGTTCCACTTCCCCCACAGGAAGTGGTTGCTCACAGGTTGCTCACCCCTTCCATCCTCTCCTATTTTTGTTATGATGCTCCTGATGCTCCCCTTTCTTCCATGTTCTCCTTGTTTTTGTTTATATGTTTTGTTTTTTAAAAGGGACTCTTACTTTACTGCTTTGACCCATCATGAGCAAGGGGCTCCCATATATGACCATACTGAATGCATGTATCTAGGATTATCTCTGAAGGATACTTCTACACATCTAATTCACAAGTGTGTGGTTAAGCTAAATTAATGTCTATGGAGTGATTAGAAGAATGGAGGGCAATATACAAGTGCAAACATTATTGTTGAATCATATTGCTACTGACAACAAATTGTGTTAAATGTACCTCTTAGTTTTGAATTTATGTATTTAAAATTGCATGTTTGTGTATTGTATTGAACTTCAATTGTTTGTTTCATTTAGACTACATAATTATTTTAACTTCAGCTACAGTAAAATCTATGTGACCTGCTGTAACAGACCTTTGTGATAGACCGCAGGTACTCTACCATAAATATCCAACCACCGGGATGTTACAAAGGCCAAACGTATAACTGGGTTCAAAAAAGAATTAGGTAAGTTCATGGAGGATAGGTCCATCAATGGCTACTAGCCAAGACGGTCAGGGACGCAACTCCATGCTCTGGCTGTCCCTAAACTTCCGACTGACAAAAGCTAAGACTGGACAACAAGGGATGGATCACTCAATTTCCCTGTTCTGGACTGGATTTGCTCTGGTCTAGATGGACCATTGGTCTGACCCAGCATTCTTACTTATCTGCATTCGACTAAAGCTAATAGAAGCTTTTTACCAGAATTCCCTTAATAAACATTACTTTACTGTTCAAATATATGGTACTACTATTTCAATACACTGAAACAAAATTTGTGAAAAATAAATTGTCAAAACATTTAACTGGTGACATTTTCTAATGGCTAAACAAAGAAAACTTGAAATATTTATAATTTATTTTAGAGCTGATTACTCTTTTATATATTCATGGGACTGATGGAGAATGGGCTAGACATCAGAATATGAAATCAAGGCATTCGCTTTTCCATAAAACAATATATGGAAACCAGCTTTGAACAAAAATGTTGTCTCAGAGTGAATGAATAGAAAGTTTACCATATGGATGTAAGGAAGAACAAGCTATCAAGAAGTATTGTTAAGACACAGACTGCCTAGAAGTGCTTGTCAGTGTAAACCAGAAATGTTAAATTAAAAGCAAGATGAAAGAACACAAAACCACCAGAATCTTGGTCTTGTATTGTCAGAGAGTACGATGATGACTCTGTCTTCCTATCTCCATCTTTCTCTTGTGCTTCTAAAACAAAGATAAAAAAGCACTAACCTCAGAGAAGATGAGCTACAAATAGCGGTAAGGAAATTTATATTCTCTAACGCAAATCTTCATAATGAACACACCTAATAGGGGCTACATCTTTCAAGGATGACCAATTACTAAGTACATGCTCTTTTAAAGTAGTAGGCAATTACACCTGCATACAGAAAGACACCTCAAAGACATAACAGATAAATTGCTGAACAATAAATACAAAATTTTTTCCTATCCAGATGATTTGTAGAACAGACGCAGCAAAGGCATGAAAAGAACTCTGAACAAAATGTTATGGTTGCCCTTTCAAAGTGAACATTGACTTAATACAGCTTTAAAATTGTACTGCAGAAGAAAATGCTGCTTTTAACCATCTCAATTTAAATGAAAACAAACACAGAAACAGTTTTCTTACCTTGTCAAAAAAAAATTTTTTTTTAACTTTCTCTTTATTTTTGAGTAGTTTACGTGTAACACAGCACTGTACTGTATTTGCTTTTTTAAAAATGTATTTTTATTTTTAATCTCTGCCGCTGCAATGCTCACAATGCTGTGTAAGTCTGGTTCCAAATGAGGTGTGTGGTTGACCGGTCAGTCATAACGCTGGTGTTCATAACTCTGATGGTCTACTGTATTTATATTATGATAATGTCTATAAATCTCAATCAAAGATTAGGGCACCATAAAGACAAGCAATAGAAAACAGTATCTACCTCAGAGAGCTTAATATCTCGATGCCGGACAAGCCATAGCAGGTGGACAAGACAGACAGACAGGATATGGGTGAATTGGGAAGAAGAGTTCAGACCTTGTGGCCCTTGCAGGCTGAGCTCACCACCTTTCTGCACCCTCTGTCCCCCTCACAATGTCGATGTGTGGTAGGACTCAGAATGAGGTGAGTCCTGGGTGTAGAGTGAGAAGTGCCTACCTTGAATTATGGGTTATATAGTTGGAGCCTTATAACCCCGACATGGAAACGACTTAAATGCCTAGTATATGAAAGTATGGGTGATGGACGGATAGTATCCTTGCCCTGTGTTTAAGTTAATAAAAGTTGCAGCCTACTGCTTAAAATGCGTCCATGTGTCTGTCCTCATTTCACCAGTGTGTCGGAATCAACAGAGTTGGGCAGAAGGCAGAAGTCACAGTTCCCTACTTGCCTAACAAATGCTAGGTCAGGGATAGGCAACCTATGGCACGCGTGCCAAAGGCGGCACGCAAGCTGATTTTCAGTGGCATTCACACTGCTCGGGTCCTAGCCACTGGTCTGAAGGTCTCTGCATTTTAAATGAAGCTTCTTAAACATTTTAAAAACCTTATTTACTTTACATACAACAATGGTTTCGTTATATATTATAGACTTATAGAAAGAGACCTTCTAAAAATGTTAAAATGTATTATGGGCACGCGAAACCTTAAATTAGAGTGAATAAAGTCCCTTCCAACCCTGATATTGTATGATTCTATGACTTGGCACACCACTTCTGAAAGGTTGCCGACCCCTGTGCTAGATGCTCTGAATTTGTAGGCTTCATGCCAGAGATGCTGGAAACAACTGGCTTTTGGCAACTACTGGCTACTAGACAACCAGCCATCTTCTGCCACAGAATACATTATCTCTCGGGAGGTAGGGGCCCGGGCAGAGACAGATGCATCATGGAGGTGAATGCCTGGCTGCGAAGATGGTGTCGCCAGGAGGACTTTGGCTTCCTCGACCACGGGATGCTATTCGAGGAAGGACTGCTAGGCAGAGATGGCGTTCACCTTTCGAGGAGGGGGAAAGAACCTATTTGGACACAGACTGGCTAACCTAGTGAGGGCTTTAAACTAGGTTCAATGGGGACAGGTGAGCAAAGCCCACAGGTAAGTGGGGAACATGGAGGCCTGGGAGATGGGTCAGAAACAAGAGGGAGCGTGGGCTATAATGGCAGAGAGAAAGGAGGGTCAGGGCAAAACTGGGAGGCAAGATCAAACCAGTATCCTAGATGCCTATATACAAATGCGAGAAGTATGGGTAATAAGCAGGAAGAAATGGAAGTGCTAATAAATAAATACAACTATGACATTGTTGGCATCACTGAAACTTGGTGGGATAATACACATGATTGGAATGTTGGTGTGGATGGGTACAGCTTGCTCAGGAAGGACAGACGGGGGGAAAAGGGAGGAGGTGTTGCCTTATATATTAAAAATGTACACACTTGGACTGAGGTGGAGATGGACATAGGAGATGGAAGTGTTGAGAGTCTCTGGGTTACGCTAAAAGGGGTAAAAAAACAAGGGTGATGTCATGCTAGGAGTCTACTACAGGCCACCTAACCAGGTGGAAGAGGTGGATGAGGCTTTTTTTAAACAACTAACAAAATCATCCAAAGTCCAAGATTTGGTGGTGATAGGGGGCTTCAACTATCCAAATATATGTTGGGAAAATAACACAGCGGGGCACAGACTATCCAACAAATTCTTGGACTACATTGCAGACAACTTTTTATTTCAGAAGGTTGAAAAAGCTCCTGGGGGGAAGCTGTTCTAGACTTGATTTTAACAAATAGGGAGGAACTAATTGAGAATTTGAAAGTAGAAGGCAGCTTGGGTGAAAGTGATCATGAAATCATAGAGTTTGCAATTCTAAGGAAGGGTAGAAGGGAGTACAGCAAAATAGAGACAATGGATTTCAGGAAGGTGATTTTGGTAAGCTCAGAGAGCTGATAGGTAAGGTCCCATGGAAATCAAGACTGAGGGGAAAAACAACTGAGGAGAGTTGGCAGTTTTTCAAAGGGACACTATTAAGGGCCCAAAAGCAAGCTATTCCGCTGGTCAGGAAAGATAGAAAATGTGGCAAAAGACCCCCTTGGCTTAA